TAAAATGTGAATCTGCATCTTGACCCTCTAGTTCTTCATGATCACCCCACAATGCCAAACAAAGAGACCAAACCGTCACAGCATACTCTTCGAAACTACCATTATTGATTTGTTTAATAGCTTCATCTAGATGTTTGACAATTAAATCTGTACCATTATCAGACTTAATCCATGGACAATCACTGCCTTCGACATCCTTCTGTAGTGAACTACGTAATTGGATTTGCAAGTGCTCTACAACAGTATCTTTGAAATTGTCATAACATTCAGTAGCTGTAATCTTTATGTGCTGTAGAATTGTCGGTGAGTAATCATTAAGCGCTCGTTGTTTAAAAAGGAACGGTGTTATGCTTAATAAATTATCTTCTGAAATAAGAAAAAAATTTTGTAAAAAAAACGGACAAAATTAAATTTAATGAAAATTACCTTTTATATCTCTTATAATATTATTTTTTGTATTTGGAACAACTAATGTATTTTGTGGTCCAAAACCTAATTTAAAACGTCTAGCGTTAAATAGGCCTAAATCAGATGCCCATTTTCCTTTTAAGTGTCCAGCGATTGATTTGTTAAGTGGTGATTCGAATGCAAAACTTTTGATCTGAGCTACTTTTGGTTTTATATCAAATATTGGGAATTTCTGTGTTGTTACTGGTACAAGAGCGTTATCTTCACTTTCAGCAACTGGTGTCTGTATTATAATTCATATTTAATATAAATAGCAAAAATATTAAATATATTCGCTTACTTTTGTGTGTAATTCACGTTGTATGCTTAATATTGAAGCTGCAGACGATTCTGGTGGAAGTGGAGTACCGTGCATACCAAAATCCATTTGACTTGAAGCTTCGGAAAAATTATCAGAGAGATTTACAGTTGATTCTTTATGTAGCGAACGCAAAACATTGGAACGCATATCATAGTTTCGCAAAGCCCCAGACCCTTTATTGCTGTTTTGATCAAATGTGTATTGATTCTCAATATCGGATGAAACTGTAATTAAAAGAATTTTAACAACATATTAGTTTTTGTTTTGAAACGTAACTTGTGTGTGGTAATTATAATAATACACGCAGTATAATCTGTTGCACAACAGCGCTATTTTTTACATTGGTAAACTTCGTCTACTGAATTCGTCTATTAAATTGTCTCATTTTTGTTCAATTATTTTTGTTGAAGAGAAGTGAGGTGTCAATTAAAAGTCAGAGAGAAGCAAGTTAGGAAAAAAAATATTGAAAATAACCTGGGTCCAGGTGTAGGAGTTTTGACATTTATCAATAGAACTTATGCTTTATCAAAACATCATTGTTATTTATTAAATTCCTACGGTTGGACTAAAACGTAAGGATATTGACTTTCGGTAATTGGATCTTCTTATAGTTCCTACATAAACAGTTAACAGTGTAATGTATTTATGTAGTTCTTTATTTAAGTCAAAGCAGTTAATTCTGTATAGAATTCTGTATAAAAATGTAACATTTAAGTGCCTATTTTAGTGAAAATGGAGGTTAAAGTGTGGGGAGTGGAATTGTGTTTAAATTTATAAAAATTTTATATACTAGGAAACAAGGCTATACGCACTAGATCAATTCATCTCGCTGTAATTGTTGGACTTTAATAAAAATAAAAACAATAATAATTACTAAAGACAATAATTTGAAAATTTGTTTCACATTATATTCATATAACGAGAGTACAAGCATAGTCGAACATTAAAAGCTCAAAGTTTCAAAAAATATAAATAATTACACGAATTCGCGTAGCAAAGAAAAGACAAGGACAAAAATTTAATTTAATTTATTGAGATTTGGCTGACCATACAACGCTTTTTCGAGTGTTGCCAAGTACTCATCAACAGTGGTCTTAGGAAATATTCGAATTTCTTAATTAGTTTATAACTCGTATATAATTTGTTTGGACTGGCACTGCCAGGCTTAAAACTCGTGCCTGTCAAATTTTCCAAGGCTGCAGAAATTTTCAAGTTTCAGATTTTTTTTCACTTATTATTTATTTAGTTAAACTAACCAAAGCACTTGCCATATTTTAAATTAGAACGAGCTTACAGTAAACTACAACTTTATTTGGAAACACAAGGTCAACGAATTGAAGGTTAATCTTTGAAGTAGCTTATTTTTGTTTTAAAACAATTTTAAAGATTAACATTCTACAACTTGAATAAAAAAATATTTGTATACTTACTTGACTTATCATCGTCATCATCGAATAAATATGCTTTCATTAATTGTACTTTATGTGCATCGGTGCCTGCTTCTTTAGCTAAAGCAGCAGTGGGACTCATATATGTGAATTTGTTCGCATTTTTATCCTGCATTGACATACTATAATCATTGGAATTGTTTTGAAGAAATTCTAAAATTAAAGAAAATCAAAAAATATAATTGCATATTTATTTATATCATTAATAGAGAATTACGTGTCTTATCCATGAACATAAATTCTGCGGATTCATCCATAGGAAAATAAGCAGTTGCTCCTGATGCATTATTTTTGGGATCGACAATACCAGTAGCATCACCATTTACCTTTTTATATAAAAACAATGTTAAAATAACAATTTACGCGATTAAAATTTTAATTAAATTTACTTTTTTTGTTGCCACTGTTTTAGTTTTATCTAAAGGTTGTTGATTTGCACCTGGCACTAATTTTGCTTTTTTCGGATCAGTCGGTACTGGATCATCTTCTTCATCGCTGTCATTTAAACCATATTTTGAAAAATGTTTAACACGGAATACCCAACTACCAGTTTCTGGTCGATACTCAATAAAGCGTGTATCGTTCTTATCGCAAACTTTTCTTAATTTTGCCTCCCAATCCATTTCTAATAAACGTTCTGGATCTTTAATGGGTTCGTGCTTTGTTTTATCATGTGGCCAAACTTTATCTAAAGTAACCTGAGCTTCACGATTTAAACCGTAACCAACTTGTGGTTTATTATCATCGTCAGGGTATATTATTATTTCCTTGTTACGGAAATGTACTACAAATAAAACATATTATGAATATAAGCATTAAAAAAACTATTTACACAGCTTACCAATTTCATCCAAATTTAAATTAGACACATCCATTTCTTTTGCAAAATATACATTACCATAACCTTCCCGACCAACTGTAAAGTTTGGTACAATGCAACTGCCATCTTCCGATATATATGACTTCAATTCTTCCAATGGTGGTATGGTGTAATATCTACAAATATTAAATAGCGTTAAGTTAATATTTTATTCTTTAAAACAAATTTTATGCTTACCCAACTCTGCGTAGAGTAATACCGGTAGGATGCTCTTCGTAGTCTTCTTGATTGTCTATTATTGAACGTTCATCATGACCAAAAGACCGATTCGAAAATAAACTCTCATTGTTATCTGTAAATGATAATGTGTCTCTACGAACAGTTCCACTTGTTTCTTCAAAAGGATTTTCAGGCACTGTAGACATTGATAATCTGCTTGCAGGACGGTACGTTTCTATAGGTTTACGTGGCATTAACTCTATAAGTGTGTTGTTGTGATTTGCGTTATTTTCTGCATCCTTATTTTGCTGTCGCACTTTATTCAAATTATTTGGATGCAGCCACGATTCACGTCGACTTGCATCGTTGTCATTTGTTACAGCAGTGCTAGTAGCAACCGCAATTGACGTCGGTGTTGTTACTGCATTATCAGCATAATATGAATCATTACGTTCATTACCATTTGAACCAGTAGTTAAATTATTAATTTGGCGCAAAGGACTCTCTATAGTTTTCCTTTCATTATTTATTGCAGCTTCTGGTGTTGAAGTATTCGGCTTTGGATTAATTATCAAACGTCTAGCATTGGGTTTTAAGCTAAAACTTTCAACACTTGAATCATACTCTTCCAATCCCTCAAAAAGTGACTTTTTCGTTAATGCGCTTCCAACTGGTTTAACTTTTATACTAAATTGACTTGCTTTCGATGATATTTTGAAATCTGAATTTTTCGATTCCAGTAACGTTTGTTGCGCTATAGGATTTGTTGGTCGCGATGCATCTGTCTCGTCTGTTCTTTTCAGGTCCTTAAATATTGGATTATCACCATAAGGAGAAGTAACCTTCAATAAAATTTGTTGATGTATAGGTACAGCTTGTTGAGGTGCAGCTCCGCCTAAAATTCCTAATGTAGAATTGTTCGCACCAAGTGTGCTTCCACCTAAGCCTACAGAATTATTAACACCGAATGCTGTTGTTCCACCAAAAAGACCTCCTCCGCCCGTGCTCGTATTTCCAAGTGTATTGCCAAATAGTGGTTTAGCAGCAGTATTGCCAAAAAGTGAAGTACCCGTAGATCCTGTGTTAAAATTCAATGGTGCCGCAGATGTTTGGGTATTGAAGCCGCCGAATGCGGATGTGGCCGGTTTATTGAGGTTTGAATTAAATAAACCGCCACCAGTATTATTCATTGAAAAATTGTTGAAGCCGGTATTGGCTGTAGATGTGGCTCCGAATCCTGTTGTAGCTCCAAATCCTTAAAAACTTATAAAGTGAAACAACCACTATGTTAAATATTTTTTTTCAAATACGTACCTGTAGTTGGCTTAGCACCAAATAGTCCTCCTCCAGCTGTACTTGTTGCAGGTGTTCCAAATCCGCCAAACCCTGTGTTCGCAGTTGATGTTGCGCCTAAGCCAAAAGCTGGCTTATTTGCATCTGCAGCTGGTGCGCCAAATAAGGAAGTTTGTTGTGTACCAGCAGTGCTGCCAAATCCACCAAATCCAGTGGTTGTCTGTCCGAAAGCAGGTGCTGTACTAGCTGCGGGTGTTTGTCCAAATAAACCACCCGTCGTACTAGCTCCAAAAGCAGGCTTTTGACCAAAGGGATTGGCTGCGGCATCTGTAGTTGTAGTACCAAAACCCGCGGTTGCACCAAATGGTTTAGCCAAAAAGCTGCTCTGTGGTTGTGTTTGCCCAAATGCAGAGGTTGTAGACTGACCAAAAGCACTTGTACCAAATAAATTTTTATTTTCACCGCCGGCAGCAGGTTGGCCGAAAAGACCAGTTGTTGGTTGTGTAGTTGAACCGAAAAGTCCAGTACTTGGTGTACCTTGCGTATTTGTACCAAAAAATCCACCGGCGGGTGCAGTACCGCTCTGTGGTCCTTTTCGATTGGCAAGATAATCTTCCATACGTAATTCTTCAAGTGATTTATTTTCATACTCTTTCATAGCAGTTATACAATGTTGTTTAGTATTAACATTATTTGGTTGGCCACCTTTCATAAGGGTATCAGTGCCTATTGTTGGTTGATATTTTGCGATGGAACTGCCGGAATTCACACCACCGGCCGCTGCAGTAGTTTGTCCAAAAGCACTCGTTGTTGTACTGCCAAATACACTTGTATTTGCTGGAGCTGTTTGACCAAAACTACCAAAACTAGAAGTGCTTGGTGCAGTTTGCCCAAATAAAGAGGTAGGTTGCGCTGTTTGACCAAACCCACCTAAACCGCTTGGTTTAACTGTAGAACCAAATGCTGAAGTTGAAGACTGTCCAAAAAGTGAACTTGTGTTAGCAGCGGGTTGTGTAGTTCCAAATATTGAAGTATTTTGCTGCGGTTGACTAAATCCTATCAATGAATATTATTATAATATTTAAAAAAAATCACTTTAAGATATAATATATACAGATATGATATGTATAAGATATCATATAAGAAGATGTACTCACCACCGAAAGTTGGCTGCGTTGTTGTTGTTGCGCCAAAAGCTGAAGATGTATTCGACGCACCAAACAAACCAGTCGTCTGTTGTTGTGCTGCATTAGTACCAAATAACGACGTGGTGGGTTGTTGAGCTCCAAAAGTTGATGTCGTGCCAAAAGCTGATGTCGCCGGTTTTCCAAATGCAGACTGACCGAATGGCGCAGTTGTTGGCGTACTGCTAAATGTGCCAAATCCAGTGTTTGTGGTGGTAGATCCAAACGTAGGCTTTGTACCACCAAACATATTTATATATTTCGATTATTAAAATTAAAAGTTTATATAAAATAATTTAGATATTTGTATATATTATTTATTGCAGAGTTAAAGACAGAAGGCGTGTTTAGTATACACAATTTTCACAAATATCGCGAAAAAAATAAATTTATATAGAAGTTAATATAGTTGATTTGCATTTAAAAATTGATATACACTATAAATATATATTATATTTATTATATTAAAAATCTAATGTAAAATAAAGAAAAACTGCTCCATGAGTAACAAATCCACACAACATGAAAATGGCGCTGACTTTTATTAACTCTTGTCTCTGATGGAAAATGTCAATATAATCAGTGTTGGTAAATTAGAAAACTTTTTATTATTGTTGTGAAAAAAATTTTATTATATATTATTTATTTTTTTTAAATATTACTAAGTAAAATTATTTAAATTTCAGTTAATACACAACATATAAAGCTATTGCACAATGTGTGACAATTCGCGTGTTGATGTTTATTTCTTAATGACTCATGAAATGCATATGTACCTGACAGTTTAGCCACCACTGTGCGCAACTTTCGTACAATAATAAACTTTTCAGAAGCGCGTAACTTTAAAGTGTAATATATAATGTACTAATAAAAAAAAATAAATAAAATTAATACAATTATTTTGAAAAAGGGATCATTTTAACATTTTTATGATACTATAGTTGTTAATCAAGATAATTTCAGCAAACTGTTTATGCACAAGTTGGCAACACTGCAAGTGTTTATTTTAAAACAAAACATTTTTTAAATATTTATATGGTCCATGATAAAATTCTCTAAACCATGATATAGATGATGCTACATTTTTTATACAAACGAAGTACGTCGTGCTATCAAATCACACTGTGTATATTGAAGTATGCATACCAAATTTCTATCTGCAGACCGCTTACTTTCTAGCAAACCGCTTACTTGGTGTGCATACAACGTCTATATCATAGTAGCATCATCTATATCATGCTTAAGGCTAAATGTTGGATCATGTTATACAGACAGTCAAATGTGCAATTATTGTTGTTTTTAATTATTTTTAATAAATTAAATTAAAAATTTGAGAGAAAATAATAAATGTCAGAATTTTATCCACCAAAGCAATAGTACCCTTAAAATTTAGGCATGAAGAAAAACTGTAAATATTGCAGAAAAACCACAAAACTGATAATTGTGATATAAATTAATTGCAGTAACCATTTATCATATAACTGTATTCCATATGACTCCCATAGGGCCATGTTATGCAGATGCATGCTATATAGTGTCAAATCAGTATTGCCAATTTCGTATTTTTACTACTAGTTTTGGTACAGATATTCTCGTCTCTTTTGAACAAATTTGAACCAACAAATTATTTTTTCTCTCGATCTCAGTTTTTTAATTTGACAATAATTTTACTCATGACATGCCAATGACACTCTACATTACATGGCCACATGACACTCTACGTTACATGTCACAAAAATTGAAATAATTCACTACTAAAAGACACAAACGTTGATATTTATTTCTTAACAACATTGCTTTGCCTAAGTGACGAGGCACATACATATAGCATCGGTTCTCATGACCAAATATGAACCGACTTATTGTTTTTTCTCTCACTCTCAATTTATAATATGCATTGAAAACAACAATTATTTTGCTCATGATAAGTCCATGACACTCTATATAACATGGCCCATACAATTAGTCACGGTCACGTCTAATATAAAATTGTTGCTTATATTTTCATTAATTGTTGTTAATGAAAATTAAAATTTTGAGTATAAGAGCGAGAGAAACTTGAGTCACGGCAATGAGGCATTCGTCACATTGATTACAACAGTATTGTTCAATAATCAATGTTAGAACTTATGCCTTTCACGACCAAATATGTACATATATTTTTGTACAACTATACTATCATATCTACAATAAAATAATTATATTTTTTTTATATAATAATTATATTATATTTTTCAACACAATATTTTTAATATACGAAAATACAATTTATATCTATATGCAGTCATTTTTATACATTATAATAAATAGTAAACGAAACATTAACGTAAAAAAGCTATATACCTATAAAATTATTATATAAACTACAATATAAACTTAACTTCACAATAATCTCAACTTGAACGATTTTCAACTTCACGAAATTCTGCTGGATCAGTACAACGTACAGTTAGAATGTAAAATACTGACGGAAAAGGTATAAGTGCCAAAAGAGCTGTGTGATGTCCCAAAGATACAATGCCATATGCTAACAACATCCAGTGCGATGCTATAATGAAATAATTACATTATCACAAACAGAATAAATAAAATTTCCTTTATTTAGATCTACTAACCTATAATAACCAAGTTTTTTACTTCAAAAGAACTCTTTATTAAAGACTTAAATGACTGATCCAGTTTGACAGAGTAATGAATTGCATTGGCAATCATGGATATAACTATGCTTAAATATGGAAATGAGAAATCTAAAAAATAATTTTTATTAATTAAATTTTTACAGAATAAAATTATAAAACTTACATATGAGACCGCCAGCCAGGGCATGTATAAATATTAATAAAGGTAAAAAATAAAGTGCAGAATAGACTGGCGATCGTCCCCGTATATCCATGATGCTGGCAATTATAGGACGAATGATGAACATTGTAATGAGACATAAAAAATAAAAAACCAATACTATTGTTTGTCTGTAATTAAACGACAAAGTTATTTTGGTAGCTCTATAATATATAATACATTCTTTTAATATTTACATACAATGGATATACTGCTTCCTGTGTACAATATAAACGCTGTTGATAATTTGGGTTGGGATTATAAAACAATGTATACCAGTCAGTAATTTTCCGCACATGACACGCTTGCAGTCGAAATTCCCATAGTGGCTCCATCATTAATATCGAGAGTATTGATGAAATTATCACTTCAGCAAACGCACAAGTAGTTAACGTAAGTTGTTTTCGTGAAAATCTTAATAACAAAAAAAAAATTATCCACTTCCACGCATAAAATACTTTGCATACATACTTTCTGTCTTTTGCATCTAAATCAATAAAAAAACAATGCATCATTAATGGTAACATAGTCATAAATCCTAGATACAACCAAGAATATAAATTTAATTCCTCTTGACATTCCGCACAAGCAAAATATTCGTTTACGCGTGAACCACGGGGGCATGCACCACATTCACTCCAAGTCCCATTGTTGTCAAGTAAAGTTCGACCACAATATGTGCCTGGACAGCGTTCCAAAGAGGTGTACATTTTTGTGAATGCAAAACAATTTGCAAATTATTTTTTCACATTCTCTTATATATTTTTTTAACTTTATTTTGTTTGTTTTGATTTTTAGTTCAACATTTCCCTACGCTTAAAAATGATGGTGGATATCTCTAATGTTGTTTTTCAAAAAGTGTTGCAAAAAAAACTATTTTAAACTCTTATAATGCACAATTTTTTACAATATCTGTTTAACCACAAAATTTTATATTTATAATAAGTCATGCAAAAAATACAAATTCGTTTATGACAGCAAAGCTGTGTTATTTATTTTTAAGATTTATACAAGATGTGTAAATAGCCCTTTTCACAAGTTCGAATATAGCAAATTAGCATGAGTTGTGAGATATTTATTTGCAAATTATGTAGTAGAATGTATATAACATTTTAACAATGTTGCACGAGTTTAGAATGCTAAATAAAAACTGAGAAGATGCCAAAAGCATGATATAGACGATGTTACATGTATGCAAACCAAGTATGCCGTACTACCAAATCGGTGAAATTACAACTTTTTTCAAAGTGTATAGCAAAGATCATACTTGGTCTGTATACTTGGTGTGCATACATTTAGCATCGTGCTTAAGTTAAAATTTAGAATCAATTGGTGACTTTATGTAAAGCAATGTGTTAACATATTGTGATCAATGCAATTAGATTGCGGCCAAAATTACTATTTTCTGTCGTACATATACGGTAACACAATTAGTCAATAGGCCTAAGTGGATCCACCTGGGATCGCCGTTATAACCTAACCTAACCTACTTTTTTCTAAGCAGCACAAATGAAACTCATTTTTGTAAATATTGCCATTATTAACAATTTTTTCATTGCGTTATATGTATGTCGACATACCGCAGATCTCAGACCTTAACAAAAACGTGTGTCCATATCTGAATGCTACGGACTCAATCTAAAATTTTAATATCAAGAAATTGCAAATAACCTTTTTCAAGACTGTAATATTCCTTATGGTCTATGGGTTCATAAAATCTAGGGACACGAATTACCACTCCATATATTAATTTATTCATATAAGTATAAAAATGTAATTATTTTAATTTTATTATTTGATTCAACTATCACAGATAAATTTCATTTTTCGAATTGCCATCGCTGGTGCCAAACAATAACTAAATCATTAAATTGCAATCGGATAAACGGTTTATATATAGCAATCGAACACAGCAAGAAATAAATGTCAAATAAACACAAATCTAAGTTCTGTTGTCGTTGTAACTCACAGGGATCTGTGAAGTAAATAACATGAAAGGAATTATATGATGAATACATGAACTAGGATGTGTCTAGGTTCTCGTGTACTTCTTTGGAAGCTTAAATGGCATTTGAGCGCCAATCGAGACAAGTTTTTCCAGGATGTAGGCCCGGTTGCTCTCGGAACCTTTATTTACCCTTACGTTACACTTCATTTATCCAAGTTTTGTCATTCTTTTACGTGTTTACTTTTTGGTGTAGGTTGCAATAACTACGTTATGCATTTAAATTTTTATTCATAAAATATTTTAAAAAATTTATTGTATTTTTGATTTATAAATTACAATATTTATATATTTATAAAATAATACTACTTTCATGCAATAAACGTTCATAATATGATTACAAATTTAATTGTTTCAATACAAAATTTAAAATCGTTGGTAGTATTCCTGCTTCCTCTAACTCCAGAATCTCTTTTCGTAAATTATTATTTTTACGTGACAAAATTAACTAAAATCAAAATCAATTATTAAACTTAATCATTTAAGGTTTTAGTGAGAATTTCAAACCTTTTTAATATTTTCACGCTTTTCATTCTCTTCACAAAAAGGTATAAAAATGGCTGCCATGTGCAAGCGTTCCAAACGCAAACAATGTTCCGTGAATTTCATCAAATTGAGGTTTTGCACCACAGGACAACTCTAAAGTTAAATATTATATATTTATTAATAGTTAGACATTTATACATACTTAAATTATAGATATACAAACTTGTAAGCGTAACATTGTTTTATATAATTCTTCTTCCTGTTCAATGGAGCGGGTTTTATTTGCAATTTTGAATGGATGTTCCAAGACACATTCCCAGGCCGCAACTAAGCCTTCAGTTTTTAACAGTTGCGCCTTACACGATAGAACATCAACAAGGGCATTTAATTCGCTTACCATATTGTAAGCGACCATACGCTTAAGTATACCATTCCAAATTTTTGATAAATATATATCGAAACCTAGACAAATATTAGCTAAGGTTTTTAAGGTACTGGCATTTTGTCCGCTCCGCTGCCAAATTAGTTTAAGTATTTCAATTTTATTTAATTGTGAAAATTTTTCTGGACTGGTATTGTAGCCGAGTTGTTTCAGTTCATGAACACATTTGATTGTCATATATTGACGTTGAGTGGGCATATTAAGTACCGATGAAAATGTGCCGTCATTTAATTTTGAAAAGCATTCATAAATTTGCAGTTGTTTTGTGATGTTAGTAGTACTAAAGTAAAAATCAAATTAAAGTAAATTAAATTGATTATTTCATAAATACATATACAATATTGCTTACTCATCCGTAGGAAATATATGTGCAGCTAGAAATTGCATCGACTCCTTTTTAGGCCAACTAATCAGTAAATAATGCGCTCTGTGAATGTATAAAAATGTTTTAAAACTACATTTTATAATGTGTACATATATATTATTGCTGTAAATATGATTTGAACTGAATAAGGCTTCAAGCATTTTGATGTTCGAATATAGAAAATGTTCGATAATCACAATAAGTTAAAATATTTGTTGTTATACTTATTTATTCAAAAGACTTACTTATTTATTCAAAAGAAAAAAATACCCGAGTAGCTTGAATATTATAGAACAGCATTTTCGAACTTTATAAGTGTTTGTTCGAAATATTCGAATTCGAATATACTAGAGTTGCTCAAATCCATCATATATGTAAGGTATTACAGATTCGAAATACCTCCATGCAAACACATTTTAGAAATGAAAGCAAGTGCATATTGAATCCATGATTTGCGATATAAAGAAGATATTCAAAACTATATTTCGTTATGTTGTGATCACCTATAGTCCACAAAATATATTTATTAATATATATAACCATATATGAAATAGAAAATCATTTAACAACTTTAATCATAACTCATATGATCAACTTTACAATAGTACCACAAACAAGAACAAAGAGAGATATTATTATATCCTTACTCCAACTGGATGTCTTTTTCGTGGATTAAGATACTATTATTGTTATTATTAACCGCGCTTTTCATCTTTGTGAACAATGACACTCCAATGACAGTAGTAAATGGCACTTAGTAATTATAGGCGATTGCTCCGGAACATCCAATACACAAATAATTTTGTCATATATCTCATAACCACAATTATATCCAAAATGAACTAGTGTATTCATCTTTAAGTCTATTCATATTTTGGACTCAATAGCTTTTTTTACACTACGACAATAACTAATCTTTCCCAATTGTTTATTATTTTTCCATGAGCGGTACATTTTTATCGGTGTTTTCAAGATGTGAGGTATACTAAAAATTATTTAGACTGAGTTGGACATCACATATTCAGTAGTACTAGGTATCAACAAAGAATAGGACATACTTGAGACAGTAAAACAACGAAAACTAAAATACTTTTGTCATATTTTAGAAGACAAAGAATATAGTATCTTCACAATCTAAGCCAGTGTTTCGGTAAAAATACAAAAACCCTTTTTTGAGAAGCTGTGGACAAATCAAAGAGATTAATAATTTTAGCCAAATTTTAAACCGAACGAGGAATTTGAAATAAAAGAAGAGAACCATTATATTTTACTACAGGAAATAAGCTGTAAGAAAGGCATCCTTATCTTACCCTTACTAATAACTTAAAATTAAATCATATATATTTTTGGTAGCTGTTAAAGTTGTTGATTTACCTTAAGACATTTTCTGCAGCATAACCTGCATCAATTACTGTATTTTCTACCATTGTTTGATCTTCGTAAAATGTCTCATCGACTATTGTACCATCAGTAGAATCAAAAGTAAAAGATAACCACTTTTGTAATAATTCGAATTGTATGTTATCCAACTCCAGGTTATGTAAATCGGCAATTTCTTTAATAACTTCGCTAATATACTGTTTGCTTTCTTTTATGATTTGTTCATGATGATATAAATTATATATAAGAGCAACAGGATTATCAATCAAAGCCATTAATTTTTCATCTGTTATTCCGTAAACGTTAAGTAAATGTTGAGTTTTCAAAATTGGATATTTGCGCTTTACTTTCTCTAATCTTTGTTGATATTTATCTTCAATAATTCGATCCTCATTTTCAATCGCAAATTTATAACATTCGTATGTTGCCTCTACTTGATCCGCACCATATGGAGCATAAGTAGCAACGAAATAAAGTATCATAAATGCTTTACCAGGATTTTTTACATTATGTACAAGACGCAGTACCTATAAGTTAACAAAAAAAAAATGGGAAAAGATATTATTCAAGTATACATAATTTACTATGATTTAAATAAGTGTTTCAAAGACGCTTTAACCATCTTCGAGTAGCTTGAATATTTTCGAATATTCGAATTATTAATGTTTGTATTTGAGTATACTCGAAATGGTCAAGCATCGTCATGTTCTAAAACTTTGAAGTTTTAATTTAAATAAAAATTTTTACCGATCGCAGAAATGCATTATTTTTTGACTGCACATTCCAGGTCTCCGATTCGTTGTTCAATTTATAATCTGTTATTGAATTCTTAACAGCAGACATGCAAAAATAATCACACATTTTAGCTACTTCCGATGAACCCTTTAGCACAGTGTGCATTTGTATTAAAGGAAACCAACTTTCACAGTTATCCACACTTATTTCACTCTCTGTAATTAAAAAATGTATGCACACCAATTAGATTTGGATAAGAAAAAAATATATGTATGTATGTTTGAATAAAGAATGGATCAACTTACCCAATATGTCTTGTAATGGATTTTCTACAAGAGGCAGAAATGGCAAGCGAAAGCGAGCAATTTTTGGTAATATACCGATTTCTTTTTGAGATTGCAACCACATATCCATTTCAAGTTGTCCTGGTCGATTTCGGCGTCGTTTCTTCATTTTGTGCCTCAAAAAATGCAAAATATTTGACCAAACTTGCATTTCTTGTGGAACAGCATCGATGAAAGATAAGATCTCAATAACGCACAAATAAAGTTCATAGAAATATATATTTATCTAAAATAAAATTAAGGGTTAATTTAGTTGTAATTAATATATATAAATATATCTTACATCCTTTATAAATTGTTGAAGTTTTGCTGTTAATAGTTTTGTATTCTTTATTTCGTTAATGTACATTTGGCAAGACTTTAGAATTTCATCAGCGGACGATAATACGACTAGCTCCTCCTCATCAAAATCATTGGTTTTGATATCATATTGTAGTTCTTGTGAACGCAACAAACCAATGACCTGTTACACAGAGAGAAAATCATTAATTTATTTAACTATATGTATATATATATAACACAATGCATATATACGTATATATAATATATTGAGTATAGAATATATAGCAAATAACATCAAATAAATTATATGAAAAATTATAACATAATACTAGCTAATATCTCTACAACTTATATACAGGCGAGACAATCAACGCTTCCTCAAAGAGACGTTGGTCGTGCGTTAGAGGCTTGGAACGGGTCGTTGAGTGTTCTTAAGTGAGTTTTGTTGCACAAGGCTGCCACTACAACTTAATCTAACCTAACGTAGTTAAACCAACTGTCTGACTTATGCAGCATTTTTCAGGCTCACTTGAAAAAACAGTGAGGCTAATACACGATGGTTGAATTCGACTTTCCAAGATCTCAATGACCAAGTGTCGTTCAGCACTCCTAAACGGGCCATTACAACAATAGTTTAATTCGAACCTTTAAATACCATAATCTTTGTAGATAGACAGACACCAATGAAAGCAATCGAATCTAATATTGTTAAATCGAGAATAATGAAATATCGCACTTCAACGCCATATCACAAGGCTACTCTTTTTTCGGTTCTTGGACGTAGAGATATTAAAGAAAACGAACGAGCAGACAAGAAAACCATTAATACCTCCAAAATTGATTTGAATGAGTTCCGATGTGTGAACTATTTAGGAGCATATATGAATTTACTATTTCGCTAATGAATGACTTGTGGACTAATCGCGAGGGCTATAAGAACACTATTAACAATAGGGTCTCTAGGAACCTATGGCTTAACACACCTGCGGTTCACAGGCTTGGTGGATATTAATGGGGCACTGTGTTACTGCACCGATGGTTTGACGGCGGTGTATTGTGGTAAGTGGATTATGCTGGAGTTGTTAAGCTAAACAGAAAAGGGTTCCATCAATCACTATCGATGTCATTGTTCAGGACTGCGTCAGAAATGAGGTATAAATCAGTTTTTATTATTTCTAAAGATAACTTTAAATATTTTTGCCATATTTTGAAGAGATCAAAATATTACTCTTATTTGATAAATGTTAATTAATTTTTAAATTATGTGAGGTTACGTTTAAGAACAAGACTATGAAAGACTCCAAGTAGACAGTTTTTGGGTATATTTTAAAGCTCTTTTTTTAAGACAAGAGGTCTGTTTATAAGTTTTTGGATGTTTCACAGGGTTTCTGCGATATGTATATTTATTATTTAAGAGCTACCTACATTATTTTAACCAATTTATTTTTAGTGAGAATTCTGCGGGACTTTTGTTATGTTTTTGATTTTTGAAGTGAATTATATAGAATATGCATTAATTAAATATTTAATTTTTCTATACATTCACATCAAATTTTTCTTATTTACCTGTGTTATAAGCATTTGCTGGTAGTCTAACTCAAAATCAGTACTCATGCGCTCTAGTAATTGTATATCCAACTGTTTGTTGTGAAACTCTTTTAATAATGCTTCGATATTATCAAAATCAGCACTAAATTTGCCTTTAATCGATGGATCTTTCTTGCAAAATTCCATATAATAATAATATTTAATACGTCTGCAAAAAAAAACAAAAGATTTTTAACAAATTTATTGGAAAAAAAGTCTTGAGCATGTATCACTCACTGTATACGCGTAGCTTCAACATGATCTGGTTTATTCAGTTGACTATTGTATTGTTCCACTAATGTTAGCAGATTGACCTTTTGCTGATCAGTCTTAAAATCATTTTCCAATTTCTGTAGGAGCATATCTGGATCGTCACAGGCAATCAGCATAGCAAATAATACTGAAAATGATGTTTATAAAATAAAAAGATCTCGAACAATTAATTTTATAAGTAAATTTTAATAATTACCAACAAAATTAACATCCTTATTTGACAGAGTATACCGGAAAATGCGAGTTAATTGTAAGGATAAAAATTCTTCATTTATAATCTTGCAACCATTACGGGTTTGATAATCTAATAAATACTGAGCAATTGTATACCAAATACTATGCATTTTGGCTTTAACAAGATGTTCCAGTGCTAAAAAGAAATCGTCACTGACCTCATCAATATCAGTTTGTATTTCTGTAGATAGTAAATCTCCTAACATGTTAAGAAGTTGATTTTGAGATTTTGATGACAGTACCATTAAATGCAGCGTATTAGTTACGAATTTAATTACCACTATTTTTTCATTCCTAGAACTCTGTGAATGCATATAAAATAATATATTAATAAAGAAATTATAAAAAATTTATTGTTTTTATTAACAAATATATTTACCTTATTCACTGGAATCTGTGGTTGCACTTCAATTTCATCAAATACAGACATTGAATCCCGGTTTCTTGTTTTTGTTGAATTGTTGACTAAATCCAATGGTGGACCTGGTTTTAAGTCATGATTTGATGCTGAATCCGTGATAACCAAATGTTTGCATATGATATTATTAATTTCTATATCTTTTTTCTGATAGTATGCATTAATCGCATTCACAGAATAACAGTTGTCAGCTATTTGGATATATTTAATTATTTCTTCCAAGTCAAATTGTTGATCTTCGTCAACTAATGAAGCACGTACTAGGAGTTTGTAAGCTAACGGATATACCAAAGGATCGTTGTCGCTTAATAACGTGTAGTCTAAAATAGAGTAGAGACATATAGTTACTTATGCACACTGAATATTTTTAGAGAATTAGAAATAAAATTGGATATTTATGTTTTCCACAAACTGTATTCTTTCATGAATAGAATAATAGAAATAGAAAACGAAGTAATAGAAAAATAATTGAAATCAGTTTAAAAAATTAGAAAATGATGGAATAGAAGAAACAATTGAAATTAGTTTGAATCAGTATATCGATTAATTATAAACTACATCAAAGAGAGATGCACTATTCCCACTTTTATTGAGATACAAGCTGCAATTAAGACCCTTAAATATTCCACTATAAAATCAAAGAGTGTAAAAGAGTATAGTTTAAAAATTGGAGGGAAAAACAACTAGCTGTTATAACTTTCATCTGCTTCCTGCATGTTTCTTCAGGGTTACGGGTAAATACTCACATGGAAATCGCGAAAAGAAGCACATATCTCTATTTCCTTTACCTAGCTGATAATACATTGAAGAAACATCATAACATATGTAGCTTTCTGTTTAATCTAGCTTTTATATAACATGACCTCAGGTCTCAGGAAGCTAGACTGCAGGAATACTTACTGCAGTTCTCATTTTTCACTAGTATATAATAAGATGGACAATATTCACTAAGTCGTCAGAAGTACTTGCATATGTTGACATTATATGCATAAAAGTGCATAAAAGTGCTTGCGAACGAAAGAACTTTTGCATGTATCATTACCTGCGAACTTGAAAACGCAATAACATATATTGGACCTAAAAAAAATTTGGATAAACCCAAGTATCTCTCTATTGCGAAACGCTCAAAGTTGGCAACGCACAAATTTCAAACAGGAAAACACAAGTTCGTTAGAAGTTTTATAATGCTTTCACAAATATTTTAAGAGCAATCTATTATTCAGAAAATAAAAGATTTTGTTATACAAAGTTCTTGTCAAATCAGATATCGTAACAAAAATGAAGTCTCTCCTTTAAAATGAAATTTCATATATAAAAGCGCAACCCTGGAAATTAAAAGTCAGGAAAACCGCTAGCAAGATGGAAAGACTATGTGATAGGCAAAGGGCACTAAGTTACCAGCAATTAGCGGGCAGTAGTGATGAAAAAAGAAAAAATGGAGGACTATTATAATGACTGCCGACAATGGCTATAATGCTTGAGCAGCACAAATATACTTAAACTAGAACATTTGGATGAGATATTTTGATGGTTTGAAAGGTTGCTCGGTGATGTTCTTGTATAATTTTTTTTTTGTTTTGTTTCTTACTAATACGTATCGCATCAGTGGGTCCATCCCCATATAATGTTCAGAATATCTCGACGTTTCTAGGAGCTATGTGAGCTATATTTAATGCTCTTAAATAAAAAATTAATATAATTTTTTCAGATATTGAAAAGTATGTATCATCATTATTAATTTTTTGAAAATGATTCTTGGTTTCAATTGCTTGTTTGTAACAGCAAAGATATTTCATATTCATTTAAAGCAGACATTGTATATACAAATATATTTTTATCTTCAATTCATGGTTACTTACTTGTTCTTTTTTTGTTATCACAAATATATTGTGAAAGCAACTGCATCGCCAAAGCTATAAACTCATCTTTTGTTTCTAGCGTACAATCTACTGTTTCTAACATAGAATAACTGAGTGCACATGTCAGAGGTAAACATTTCATGCGTTTACATATCATTCTCACTCCATACATTTTTGAAATTTCTAAAGCTGCGCTTAACTGCCAGATTTCCTGGGTTATAAATTTTGATACATTAACTGCTGCTTGACTACGTTCCACTATATTCTCGATACCCAAATTTAACATCTTCGACCTACTACTTGTTGGCACTAAATCACTTATGGATTTTATAGGAATTTGATATTTAAATCGTATAATAAAAATATTTTGCAAAGCGCGCAGACGTTTTTGATAAATATGGCATGTTTTCGGGGTAATAAGCTTTAGAAAATCAATTAAATTTTTTTGATCCTTCATATCATTTTGTAGTGGTTCTGTTTTCTCCATAAATTCCTGTTTAAAGAAAAAGAATACGATTTATAAGTTTTATAATATAAATAATTTATAGCTTTTCTTACCAAAAACATTTCTGTTATCGAGTTGACATATTTTACATTCTGATCTGCATTTAAAAGCTTGAAGAGTTCATAAGCCAATTCGGGTTTATCTGTGCGCACCAACTGATAACAGCAATTAAAGTTAGCGCCAACAGAAATACTTGGTGCAGCTTTTGTAAGCATACGTATATCTTCCAACATATCTGGTAGGTTCATTTTAACAATACGAAACATAAACAAGTTTAAATTTATATCGGTTGCACTATCCATGGGCCAACCATACTTAGATTTCATAATTTTTATTACTTGTATTTCGTATTCCGTGTTAATCTTAAAAGCCAACGGATGAGTTGAAGTACGTAATTTGATTAGTGGTGCCATTGCATCTGGCCAGGGCACTGGTGAACACTAATAAGAAATATTTAAAAATTTTTATAAATGTTAGCCTATATTTTCAATCAACTTAACTTACTTGCATCACTTTTAGTGCCGATTCTAATCGATCATCTTCATTATGCAACAATTCAATACAGGCTATTGAACGCTCCAGCCAAGTGCTTAAAGAATAATGATTACCAGCCAACAAAGAAATGTAGTTACGTATGGGAACGATTGGAGTTTTACCCTTTTCTTGATAAATAGGATAGAGAAAGTCTTTTACAAGACTTTGCAAATGATCCAAATGTACGTGTTGTAATATATACAGGGCAGAATCATCGATAGAGTCCTGAAAAAATAGATGTTTTCAATAATACTCGGCTAGTTATCTTTTCCATTCTTGATTTACAGGAATGACCGGGTCTACGACCCCGAACTATGTCAGTAGATTTCCACTTGTTATCATTATTCTTTATAATCTTGAACCATTAAATATGAAAAATAAGAACATAATAAAATAAGAATACCCAAGCATCAATCTTGGGTTTTAATATCGAATCAGTATTTAAACTTTAATTTATTATTAGAGGAAACTATGTGTTGGAGCCATCTAAATATATTTTTGTTTTTTTTAATCGTTAAATAGAAAAATTAACGATGTGGTGTACGTTCACGTCAGTTACCATGCAACACAGAAAACTACTCTACTTTTGAGGCTCCTGGCAATTCCTACGTATAAAGTAAGAGCCTGATAAAGCTATGACGATTGAGTGAATTTATCTATTTTTATTTCTTTGGAAATGCAAGAACTGTTTTATTAGTTTATTAGTATTGCGACTTGAGGCTAGATCTCCATAAGATCATTGCAATTAAATAGAGAGAAGAAATTATTTGTAATTGACACCAACCTTTTATATCTCTATAATCTCTATGATCTCTATAAGATCATTGCAACTAAACAAAGAGAAGAAATTATTTGTAATGGACACCAACCTTTCATATTGTGCAATTGAACGTGTTTCGAGTTAAATATCTGTTGGGTGTTTGCAATAATTATCAAAAAAAACTCCACGGACTCGTGTTGCGTTCAGTATGAATTTAATTACTTTATTTTATATTGACCATAGCCATTTAAGAGGCTCTGGTTCCGCATCCATTACCAAACCACTCTCACTTCCCAATAATCCATTCCACTTTAACACAACTAATACCCATCCACATCCACCCATGCATTCGTCACGTACGCCTATAGTGACTACAATAGCAGAAAAGGTTATAATATTTCTAGTAACTAGTATAATCTATAGCAGTATGCCTATACCATTCGTTTAGCAATCTCAATATATACCACTGTGGCTATTACAATATAGCAACAGTGCCAAAAAGGAAAAGTGTTGTTCCTAGGATTAATTTAAAAAAAATCAACAAATGTTTTAAAATGTTAAATACCTATGAAAGCGATGAGCAGCATTTGGTTGTTTCTGCTCATCATAATATGTAGGATATAGCAATTATGTACCTACCTGTAGGTAGTTGTCCAATGTAAAAATCAAATTATAACTATTTTTTAATACAAATAACTCTTGCAATACATTTACTAAATTTTTTAATTTAGCAATATTTGAATCCAATTGACGTCTTACATCACTGCAAAAAAAAAATATGTAAAAATTGAAAAATATATTTTTACGATCGACAACATACGAGTGCAAAAAGCATGTATTCTCAAAAATGGCAGCAACTTTTGTCATAAATTCTAAACCAATTTCAGGCCAATGACTCGAATATTGCAGTGTACGTGTCTTCTGTATACTCCACTCTGTAATAACTGGTAATACAGAAGGATGGGTATTTCCTACAGTCGGAACAAACTGTAGTAAAAACTGTAGTAAATTGAAAGCAGCAGTGTTGGCCGGTATGAAATCAAGTAACTTTTCTAATTCTTTTTCATCCAAATTTTTTAAAATAGCACTAGAATGTCGTTTCCAAATTAAACATGCCGTAGGTATATCATACTTAAAAAGTACTATGATTTCCTTAATCAAATATGGATTATGCACAAAACTTTGCCAATCGACTTTACATTCATATGGATCAATAATTTTGAGTGTATCCAGACGATGTAATTGTTCCCATATATCAAGTACATCATTTTCATCATCCTAAAGAATTTTTATTTTAGAAAAAAATCAAAGCATGATAATATATTCTATACAACCTGTTCATCCAAATATTTAAGTATTTCCTTTAAATAGCGATAAAGCAATTGTCTCGTTGGCATGCTGATCATTCGATTATTTTTAAAAAATTCTTTACGTCCAACTCTTTTTAGCATATCGAGTAAATCATCGAATAGATGTTGTAAATACTCTGTGTTTTCCTAAAAAATGGTATTGAGAAATATATTTATTATTTTAATTATGAAATATTTACATCTGCGATTGAAAAGTCTACTAGCATCCGTTTAGCTTTGGCTTCAAAAACTGGTTGCAAACATAGTTCAAATTGACTGCCGAAGTCCTATATAGAAGAAAAATAAAAACCATAGTATAAAAAATATATTTCAACATATTTCAGTGTATTATTTTCTGCCTTTAATTAATATTTTTGTAAATTAATTATAAATTGCTAGTTTAGATCAAGCATTGTCTACTGTGAAATCATCAACATTGTTAGAACGTTAATTTTGATAGGTGAGAACACTGTAGACTATTCTCATTAAACTTAAAAATTGACTTCATTTAATCGCTTTTTGTTAATGTAGATGATTAACTCATAACTAACTGTACTGTACTAACTAAAATTCCATTATCAAATCTAATTATAAATATGTATATTGATAAGTTGATTGGAAGAGGTGCTTTAGAATAAATCTAGAATAGCCACGTACTCTTCGCCTCTACAATCCCGGTTTACATCTAAACAATCCTCTCCTTTCTCACACTACCATTATCTATTCACATCCTAATTCATATATACATCTTTGTAAATCCTTGCTAATTATCTACTTTATAGATAATTAACAACAACATAAGCATAAGTTCTCTTAAAAAATATAAAAATCTCTTTTAAAATATCGTACAATATTGCTTCACAACATACCTCGGCTTCTTCCAAATGTCCTTTTGCAATCAGTTTCTTAAATCGGTCACTAGGATCGGTTTCAGAAATTAATTTCATTTCTACTTCTGTTGGTATATTAGATGAATTTAGTTGTGTGCCACAGAGTACATATAGGTTCATCGAGTTTTTAGGTTGTTTCACTTGCCAGGAGCACACAGGAATATCCAATTCGCTATTACATTTAAATGCTTAACCAAATAAATAGAGTATAGTAAGAATAATGACAAATTATTTAGTTCTCTTAAAATTAGCTTACAAGGATATTGTACTATTTTCATCATACGCTGATCTTTATTCGGTTTTGTCACCACCAACAATTCAATATTTTTATCTGAACATTCCATAATAATAAGATCATCAATAAGCAGATTTATCTCATTTTGTTTAGTATTAAAGCAGATGATCTTCGTTATGGGACAAAATTCTAACAAGTGTCCAGAATTAGTAAGAACTACACTATAATAAAAAACTTCATTACTCTATTTTTCACATTAATAGCAAATGGAATTTACATAAAGTTATCCAAATTATAGATGTTTTTAACTCCACCATAATGTTCTGACATGCGTATTCTAATAATGTCTTCGTGCATATTTTTTAAATGGATTCCATTCTGTGTACCAGCAATGCATAATATATTTTCAACATTTATCCCCAATTTCCGCTCCATAACTAAAACAGATGTTAACGTATCCTTATGACTGCGATTAGTTAAAATGCGTTTCATAGTAACGTTGTCGAGTATAGCTTCATCAGGAGTTCCAGTTTCATTGTCAGTCATTGATATATTCATATTATTTTCTAAAGGCTTTTCATCAATTTCGCTAAGGCTAAGTACGAAATGACATCGCGGTTATTATGATTCACATTTGTTATTTGTATTATACTTACCAATAAATGCTCCCATTTGTGCAACTGATGTGAAAGCGTTGGTTTATCAGTTGTATATTGGCGAACGTTTTACCAGTTAGATTCACATCTTCCGCTTCGATGATTAAACTAAATAAAGGTATGCCTTTTATAAAAATGCCATGTATTTCTCCATTACTCAAGCAACATATTATTAAATTGCCTGAATTTGTAGTTCTAATAATATTTATATCTGCATTAAATGACAACAAACTACATTTAGCCAAATTTTCATCTTCAATCAAAAATATTGTTTGGTCTATGGCTATGGCAATTTTTTTGTTTTGAACTGTTGCTTGTACTTCAGGATATTTAATTATCTATTGTTGTAAACATATACTAATTAGAAAATTAATTTTATGATGATTTGCTACAGTACCGCGTCATTGCTGCTAATTTTGAAAACACCGGCTGATGAAAACATATTCGATAAAGTTTCATCCTCTACGGGACACTGCTCAAAGTGGTCCCACATTTTCAGTTGAATATTTTGTTTTTAATATAAACAATCTTTAATAATAAGATGATTATACACCAAGGCGCGTAAATTCTCAAAATATTTTTTTTACGTTTTGTTCAGTTAGGTATTCTATTACAATTTGTTGAAGTTTGAAATCAATTTTTAGATATACATGGTTGCATTTTGAAAACAAATATTACAGTGAACATTAAAAATTTAAGCAATATATAACATACATATTAATCCGGATCAGTAAAGTTCACTACATACTTATACATAATTAGGTCTGTTCGACTTGCTACTTGTAGTAAAACTTAAGTAAAACACAAATACAAACTGAAAGCGTAACACAAATATAGTGCGAAATTACGCTCTTTAGACAGATTTTTTGGGAACAGTTCCGTATAAAGTCTGATGCGAACACTAGTTAAATTCAAATCAAAACAACTGATTTACACATCAACACAAATTAACTTGAAATTAAATGTACGAGTAAAGTCTGTGTAGCATATTTAAATTTCGACAGGGATGTTATACTTTCTCAGATCCTCTCATTTTAATTTGCTGGTGGAACGCTCGTGTGCATACGCAGTGTTATTCAAAGTTACTACGAATATCTTGCATATATTAACAGATTTAATATATGCTAATTTGAATTGAAACCACAACTACTGAGTGTTATTTAAAACAGAATTTCAAAAATGTCTTGAAGCGCTTAGGAACGTTCAAATTAAAATATTCTAATTCAAAGAATTCATAATCTTTTGAAGGTATTTTGGTGTATTCTTATGAGTTATTTTTCCTTGCTTATTTTAAAAACTTTCTCACCGATATATCCATAGACAAACAAAAGTAACGGATTAGACATCATTGTCCTAGACAATACAAATACAATTTTCTTGCAATTTTGTTGGATACACACCAACTTTTTCATATAAATGTACATATTTTTGGAACTTGCCAAAAACTTGAATAGCAATCATTAGCAACCACAGATACAGAAGAAAGAAGAAAGAATATATAAAATTGAATATAATATATTATTGTAAATTTATTAAAAAAATAATACCAAAAACGTATACCAAAACAACAAACTAAAGCAAAACATAAAATTAATTATTATATGAATGCGTATAATTAACTATAAAGTATAAAGAATGAATACGGAAGTCCCATTTTGTAGTCAAGGGAAAAACGAACGCAAGAAAATCAAAATACGTAAGAGATTTTACATCTGGTACATCTGGTTAATAAGCTAGAGATAACAAAAAGTTATTAATATTAGACCACTAATTGATGGCAGACTTGGTAGTGCCCGTCATCGTTTTACGCCTATTGCTATTATATATAACTCTCATTGTCTAAAACTTGCACGGTCTTCGAACGCAATTTAACTAAAAATTTCCATAATCATTAATGTGAATAGATATTTTCTCATTTATATGCTATTTTGGCATTCTACCGTTATTTGATATTGTAATAGATTTTTTGGCTTTCGTTAAAAGTTTTTTGATGGAATTTCATTTTCTATTCGGAAGTGTTGTGAACAAGTCGAAGTTAATTATTAATTTGCATTTTGTATCCATAAGTCATAATGGAGTACGAGGTGACTTGTGAAGAAATTGAAGTGGTGCCGCCAAGTAACACTTTAAGGTAACGAAAGATATTCGAAAATATATGATATGAATTTTTAACATCCATTTTTTAAGCAATGACGAAATCTATCGTCGTTGTATCGCTAAGGAAAATGTAAAAAGTGTTACTTTAGGCGATAAACGCTGCTTTAAAACTGATGATCCGGAAGAAGTTAAGGAGTTAGACATGTTTTATGGTAATTTATAAATCATTTATCACATATTGTTTAATGTTTTATTTCATTTAATTTTATATTAATAATCGTTTTCCATAACATTCTTCATAATTTGAACTTTTATGTAAATTAAGAGGAATTGTTCTATTTTTTAACAATTCCGCGTTTGATCCATAACGATCACATGGTGGCAGTGTGGGATTTTGAAAAGAAGGCTGCGCGTGTTGTCCGGCAGAAAGGTAAAATGGACAAATTTGGATATACGTACAATAAAGCATTGTATTTAGAAAACTATGAAGCGTTGTTTTTATTGGAAACTGTAAGTACTTCAAAATATAAATATGTATAAGTTAAATATTTTAATTTTTTAAATGTAGGATCGTCTGAAAATGGATTATTATAATTTACCAATTACACTAGAACAAGCATATTTGTTGTTTATTGGTGAAGAAGCTTCACTTCAGTATGCAGAATATATGGTATATACTACACTAACCCGAAAGGGGATTGTAGTGCAAAAATATAAGAATTGCAGTTATGATTGCGAAGCAGTAACTAAAACAGATTGCATATGGGCGATACTTAAAAATGAGCTGTACGATCTACCTATACCGGATCGTATTAGTGCTTCAAAATATTTTACTGAAATGAAATCAGGCATGATTAAAAATCAAAACCTTATAAGAGAAAGTCAATCAGGTTTTAACGATGATGAGTTACCAGAAAGCAGTAACACAAAGCGTATTAACTTTGCCCAAAGGATTTATTGTAATACTGATTATAAAACAGAAAGTGTTTGGCAACCAAATCGCCAGCCACCTGTGTTAAAATCATCGGGCCATTTAGAAGAGATAAAAAAACTGTTGGATCGTAAAAAGTTTAAAGATGTGTTTGAAAAATTAGAGATAATTAAATTGAAAACTAATATTAAGAACCCTGACACTTGCAGGAAATTTAATATCAGTTTTGATTTATATGAGCCTAAAGGATTTCGAAAAAGCAATCCTGGTGTACCGGTGTGTCGTTTGATTATATTTCATTCAGATGACAAATTTCCAACTCATGATGAAATGCTTATGTGCTATTGCCAACAAATACATCCGACTAATTTAATATTCGTATCAGTTAGCGAATCAAATCAAATACATGGATTTCATTGCACATTTACATAAAATTGTAACGAATTGTAAAAAAAACCTTGAAATTAATAAACTGATTTATTTAAAAATTAAACTTTATGTGAATAATTCGATATATTGGATTTACTGCAACTGTAAGTATAGATTATTCATATAACATATAAAAAATAAATATTTTGGTACTTTTCATATATTTTTATTTATATACCTATGTAAAACGTTAATATATATTTAAATTTATATATTCATAGGTTAATCATAAAAAAAACATATTCTTACATTGTTTTTATAGTGAACATGTTAGAGATATACCATATTTTTAATGTCAATATATGTAATAAAAGTTTTATTTGATATGCAAATAACTAAAAATTATGTTTATAGACTTTTATTGTTATGTTTATTGCCTTCACCACTTGTAATTAATTTTACCCTTAACACATAATCAAAATAGTTTTAATCAAAGTAGTTTTAAAAAGTTTTTCCCTAAAGTATGTCTCTACCTTTATCCTCCTCGGTCCTGAAGGCTTCCCACAAAAAAAAAATTCTTAAAATCTTTTAGCTTTTGTTTATATGTATTCAAATAAAAAAAATAAATTAATTAGACGATTTACAGCAAAAGGTGCACTAAAATAACAAACACGAAACTATTAGTGAGCTGTACAGATGGATATATAGTAGTAAAACCTTCACAAAACTTCCAAAAAGGCAGTAGAAAAGTGTCCAGCCGGCTGCACGCCAGGACCGAAGAGGTTATCTTAAAAGTAGTGATATAAATGAAGTTATACCACCAAGTTTTCAAATTAATTAAGGATACTAAAATAAATTAATTTAAATGAAGTTTTTGAGAATACATTAATTCATTTTTCAGAAATTTTTTTTATAAAACTGCACAGGTGGCAACGATAACTTTGACATATATTTAGCGGGTAGAATTGTTTGATTTTTTTCTGATTTTAGAAGAAACGCTGTGTTTGTAGAGTAAAAAATAGAAACAACTGATGCGAAATGCGTCCAACAGAAGTAAAATTAACTAATCCACCAGAAGATGTTATATCTTCAGTAAAATTTGGACCAAAAACGAATCAGTATTTAATATCTGCATCATGGGATGGAACCATCAGATTTTATGATGTAGTTAATAATGTCATGAGACAAAAATTCTCACAAGATGTGCCAGTGCTTGACGCAACATTTATGGTAACTTGAATTATATTATTTTACACATAAATTTAATTTTCTTTTTCTTAGGACGTTGTTCATGTAGTGAGTGGGTCATTGGATAACAAATTAAAGTTATATGATGTTAATACGCGTACTGAGACTTTAGTTGGAACACATGATGAAGCGGTACGTTTCGTTGAATATGCTGAATCAGTCAATGGTATACTCACGGGCAGTTGGGATAAAACAATTAAATTATGGGATATGCGAGAAAAGCGTTGTGTCGGCACATATGAGCAAAGTAATGGCAAGGTATACTCAATGTCGGTGAAAGATGAAAAAATTGTTGTTGCCACATCGGATCGTAAAGTACTTATATGGGATTTACGTAAAATGGAAGAGTATATGATGAAACGTGAATCGTCTTTAAAATACCAAACCCGTTGCATACGTTTGTTTCCTAATAAAGAAGGTTATGTCATGTCATCGATAGAGGGACGTGTTGCAGTTGAATTTCTTGATCCAGATCCAGAAGTACAAAAAAAGAAATTTGCTTTTAAGTGTCATCGAAATAAGGAAGATAGTATTGAACATATTTATCCTGTAAATGCAATTAGTTTTCATAATGTTTATAATACATTCGCAACTGGCGGATCTGACTGTTTGGTTAATATTTGGGATGGTTTTAACAAAAAGCGTTTATGTCAATTTCATCAGTATGACTCTTCCATTTCATCACTTAATTTCAGTCATGATGGTAGCACGCTTGCCATAGCTTGCTCTTATATGGACGAATTCGAAGAACCACCTGCAAATGTCTCCAATCCTGTCATATATGTGCGATACGTAACTGACCAAGAGACTAAACAAAAATAAACATTTTTAATTCACTACAA